CGCCGGAATCCGGTAAAAAAATCCGGACGGACAAAAACAAAAAAAAATAAAAAAAGTTTAAAAAGTCAACGCCGGAGACCGGCGTTGTCCGCCGGTCAACGCCGGAATCCGGCGGCGAAAAAAGTTTTTGAAAAAAAAAAAATTTTTGAAAAAAAAAAAAATTTGGGTCAAAATTTAATAATTTGTGAAATTTGGGGTCAAATTGAGATTAAATTAAGTTAAGGATGAAATTGGAGGAGCATATTAAATTATACTCCAAAAAAAAGTCAAAATTGAATTTTTGTGGTCAAAATTGAACTTTTATGGACAAAATTGATTAATTTGGATTACAATTAAGAATTGGGTATAAATGATTGAGGGTAATATTGGGATATACATGAATGTTTCCTTTAGTTATAATAAATATTAAAGGGATGGGCTTATTGGTGAAAGAGATATGTCCCCTATACCTAGAATAATAAACATGCTTGGTTGGGGACTTTTGCATAAAAATCCCAAAAATAAAAGGAAAAGAATAAAGTAGGCTGAGCACACGTGTCGACTTCTTCCCAAATTATTCTCAACCGCCACGTGTCGGCTCCTTATGGTGTGTTACGGGCAAAGTTGCTTCTTCACAGTGTATTGTTGTAGAAATGAAATAAGCTCCAAGAGTGCCTTATTTCTGAAAGAAAAAAAATCATACAATTGTAGAAAAAAATTGTTCTCTTATCAAATAAAAAAAATTCTGGTAATATTTGAAATTGCAATAACTTTTAGTAAGAATGTCTAATTTCATGATTTCTATGAATGCAACTTTTTTTTAAATTTGAGTTCTAGTTAGTACAAATAGATTTTAAATATTTTTCTCCATTTTTGATAATATTTAATCCGAGTGGAGGTTGAGACTCTAACCATGGTAAACAAAAAAAAAATTTAAAAAAAATAAATAAAATAATAAATAAAATAAAAGGTGATGATTCTTAAAGGGATCAAGGCCTCCTTTTTCACAATGGCTTGGAACAAAGAATTGGATTCTATTCTCCAATATTTGCTTTACATTTCCAATATCTTTTATATAGGGTAAATTACAACCACCCCTGATGTATGGTCAAATTATGAAAAAACCCTTATGTTTGAATAATTATATCTACCATATTTACTGTGAATTTTTTTACATATTAACACTTGTGGTGTCAAATTCAACATAATTATCTAGATTCCGTGGAATATTCTCTAGTTTGTACTCGTTTTGTACAAAATTACAGTTACTGATGCATCACAATCTGATATATACAAACCAAAAAATACATCTGATGATCATCTACCATTGGAGTTTGAATGGGATAAAACGGACCCAAAATTGAGAATATATTCCATATAATATAGAAGATTCCATTAAATTTGAAACTGCAAGGATGGACGTATAAGAAGATTAAATTTGAAACTGCAAGGATGGACGTATAAGAAGATTTATAATTGTGGGTGGTTGTAATTACCCAAACATGATGAGGTTTTCGTAATTTGACCATATCTCAGGGGTGGTTATAGTTTACCATTTTATATATTATGTGGTCTCCAATATTTGCTTATACAACCTACTACAAAGATTACATTAACAACCCTCAACTACTACTACACACAACACACACACACACACACTTGACACACTACTCTTCTCTTTCAATTTTCAACCCAAACACACACACACACACACACACACACACACACACATAAGTCAGCTACAAAGCTTTATTTCTTGCTCACTTGCTTACAAATTAAAGTAGAATATCAGCCCATTCTGCCCTTCTGTGGACTTCTGAAGAACTACCAACGGTCATCTCTCTCTCTCTCTCTCTCTCTCTCTCTCTCTCTCTCTCTCTCTCTCTCTCTCACACACACACACACACACACAAACACGAAACAGAGAGGCCTAAGATGAAAGAAGGATTTGAATTAAAACTATTTTCATGATCTATTTGTTGTGTGAAGCTTTACTTTCTTGCAATTGATTTTCTATGTTCTTTCATATATATATATATATATATATATATATATATATATATACATATAGATATAAATGTATAGCCCTTAATTCTACTCTTAGTTTTTTTTTCTCCTGTTTTTTTGCATGAGTAATTGTCGTCCATTTTTAATGTAATATCTCAAAAAAAATAATTACGTGATTTAAAATTTCATCTAATTGATTTTCTTCTTTTTGTTTAGGGCAGGTCAAAATTCTCGGTCAGAATATTGCAATATGGAGGTAATTGTTAGCCGGGCTACGCTAACGTGCGCAGTGGGCCCTCTTTCCTCCTTCCTCCTCCTATTGGTCAAAGCTCATCTGCTCTATTTGGCACAGGTAATTAATTATCAAGCTAAATTCTCATATTATTAATTTTTTTTCTTTTAAAAAAAGTTCTCATATTATTATTTCATTTTTTTTTTCATCTTAAAAATTCTAATCATACAAACAATTTCAAATTCTATTTTATTCACGTTTCGAGTTAATAAATAAAACTCATATTTTACCCGTGAATTGGGGTCGGTGACCTTTCTTTCTCGATTTTCTTCTTATGTATAGATAAATAAAAGTATAATTGAATTAATTGAACTATTTAATTAATTATATAACTTATTGTACCAATTTTGTAATTAGTTTTTTCTTCTTTTATTAGGCTCGGTGAACTTCATCGGGTGATATTTTATTACACGTGTTTTGGACATTCAAATGAGAAAAGTTTAGACATCGTCTTGGCTTCTCATAAAAATAAAACAGTCGCTATAACCCAAGAAAAATAACTATATATCTCGAGTCTCGAGATATATTTTGTTACTCCATCTGTTGCCATAATATCATAGTATCTGTCATTTTTTATATAAAAAACAAAATTCTCATATCATCTGTCACTTTATAATTTCAATGTTGCATCAATTACATATTATTCAATTTTGTCGTTATTAACTCTCTAATACTCTCTCTTCATTAATTATTAAATAGGGGTATTTTAGTCAAATATTTATTAAGTGGATTAGTTTAAGTGTTTAATGTTTGTTGTCCTTGCTTATATATATTAATCTATGTGTGGTGGTTTCTTTTTTCTTCAGTTTTAAATATTTTTTTATTAGTAAACGGGTATCGTGGTAAAGATATCCGGATATTCCCTTGGGTTGGGATATTTCGAAGGCATCTTTTATGCTGTTAGGGTATCGGGTTTGCGGGTCGGATCTGATCTGACACTGACAAATATTTGAACCCATTTTTTTCTTGTTTTTTTTTTCTTTTTTCTTTTTATACTCTTAATTAATTGAGAAAGAATTAGTGGATACACTGAGGAAATGAAAATGAATTTTAATATCACGCTATAAATACATGTAGACTAGTTTTGAAAAAATCGAAGGAAATTGAATCAATCATTTACGGTATTCATCTAAGGAGTCTAGAGGTGAAAGTTGGAACGGAATTTTCAATTTCCGCCGGTTTCGATCCAATTATAATTTTAGAATTTCTGATTTTTTTTATATTTTTTTTTGGATTAGAATTAGAATTATATAAAAAAATATTTGGATTTTTTTTATTTTCGGTCCGATTTAATTTCCGAAATTAATTTTTCAAAATTTCTATTTTTCCAGAAAAAAATGCAGTTGGGATGAATCGGAATTGGGATGAAATATGTTATCTTTTCACTCTTTGCTTTGGACTTCTTTATATGATGAAATCTTGACAACCCTTCCCTTCTTGCAATAAAAAATGCAGAATCAGGAGAAAATATTGATGACGAGCCCAACCAAAGGCGAATCAGAAGCATTTGATGCTGAGGGAGCAGATAGCGACAACGATGGTGACGAGGATGGTGACAACGGAGTTTCTGGTTATGGAGGTGGTGACTTCTCCGAAGAAGAAGAAGATGAAAACCACGGGAACAACAATCCCAATAGCAACGGCAAAGGCAACGCAAACAAAGGCAACGATGGTGCCGATGAATCGGAGATTCCAAATGATGATGATAATGACGACGATGATGATGCAACAAATGGCGACAATAACGATGACGACAATGATGATGATGATGATGATGAAGATGATGATGATGAAGAAGATGTAGTGGTTGAAGACGAGTCTGACAAAGAAAACGAAGAGGAAGAGGAAGAAGAGGAGGAACTTCAGCCTCCGAAGAAGAGGAAGAAGTGAATAATCAATCACTTGACACGCTTTCCAAGTTTTTTTTTTTTGAAGTACTATCGATTTCATGGGATATTGAGACGTTATAAATGTACCCAATAACATCATTTGGGGACAACTGCTTAATTACATCTTTGTATTGCATCTGACGGTATTCGTGCGATCAATGCTTATTCTCTTCCATAAATACCAGTTTATTTAATGTAAAAACACCGAAATGAAATAGTAGATTGAATGAAATGCATAATCAAAAATTCCAAATCGAAAAAGAGCTTGAAAGCCAGTCATAAAGTTATAACTATCGTTTCATGTAGAATCAATCGATCTAATACTAATGGCAATGTGTTTCTGTACAGAAATGGCAATGCACAAGTTAAATATATCACCGTGTGTGTATATGTATCTATATATATATATATATATATATAATGCACTGTAAGAAGTAATATTTTTCTACCTCAACTTCCGTTTCTGATCGAGACTTGGTGTATTTACATGCAATGAATGTTGAACCTGTTCAGACTCTTCAAGCTCTCCCTATTGTGTGTCCTCGTCAAGCAAAGTTGTCAGCTTGCCGAAGCTAAAAACAGAGAGTCAGAAACAAACATTAATAGATTATCCGTAACCTTTTTTTATTGCAAAATTCTAATCACTCTAAACCAATTAACTACTATTAAACCAAGTGCAATGATTTTCACCGCAAGGTGACGAATGAATCGTATATTTGAGCTTCTAAAACTATGGAGGCTTCTCTACTTGAAACTTTAATTGCAGGGACTAATAAAAGCTAAAAACAAAACCGAACCACGTGAACTGTGTTGTAGAAATTCAAATCATAAAAGAAGATTTAAATGAACCGTTTATTATTTTTCACGGAATAGACAAGAATTAAAAGAAAGATTAACTAACAGCATTCATGGATCCTATGGAGTATATTTATCAACTTTGGTGAATATTGAGCTGTAGATTACAGCTAGGACTTCAGATTGTTCAGCTATTTCTATACCCGAAAAATTGTAAGGCAATCAATCAGAAAAGAAACTTCATCATTTTCTCTATTATAATGTCTCCAATTTTAATTTATGGGTTAAGCACAAGTCGTACCACATTAGGCGAGGGGAACTGATATCATTTCTTCGTTGCATCTATGAACATAGCACGAGTCCAGTGCTCCACGTCTTCAGTATGCGATGGAGGAGGAGGTAAAGTAGGATGCTCAACAAAATCCCATCCTTCAATTAAGTTTTCATTCTTTCCCAAATCAGCAAATTCATTACCATAAAGATAACTGCCAGCAGAGCTTGGAAGATAATTATCAAATGTATTTCTCTGTACAAAAATAGGAAGTAAATGAAATGGTCAACATGTGAAATACTTGTCTCGTAATAAAAAAAAAGGTGGAATTAATTAACAGCAAACACAGCACCGTTCTACCCTTTTATCTCCTTGGCTTACAAGGAATTTATCCAGAACTAAAACAATATTTTGGAGAATGATAAAGAACAGAAAGATATAGCACAGAAAGATATAGCACATGATCACAGAAAGAGGGCAAAGATGGATGCTACATGGTTGGTTTTTCATGTGTAATTTCAAAATTTCAGATTTATGTAGCGTCTTTGATCATATCACCATCTAGGGAGTAATAACGAAGTTTTTTTACGAATAGAGCATGGAAGAGAAACAGCGAGTAAAATCGATTAAAAAGCGTGCAAACAAATGGGCGTGACATGATGAAAGGGAAAGGTCGATAAAGAGCAATTGAATTAAAGAAGGGGATAAAGATTCCAAGGAAATAATGATTTTATCTCCTTTCATACGTTCAGAATTAGTAGAATATCTATCATGGAAAAAAAAAAAGAGATTAAAATGTATACCATTATAGGCAGCACGTTCGCGCTCTCCAGTAAAGTGCTTGAAGAAAAAGCCGACTCCACATTCCATACAGATGTATTCAGTTGTTGGCCAGGTTTGGACCTGAAAAGTCAAATTAATATGCAAATGAAACTTCTTCCAACTATGAGTCGTTGCAATATGATTTAAAATATCCCTAAAGAAGCCTGCATGCTAGAATGGACAGTTCATGTAGAGTATAGACGAGTGAAATCGATATGCATATGATTCTATCCAGTCAAAATGTTAGAATTGAGTATTTTTTTTGCTAGAAACAATAACTTAAATTCTTTCCCAAGTAAATGTTCGTCCTAGAACCCTGGGAGCAATATCTTTTACTTGAAAATTTTTACTTTAAAAATGTATGCACTTGGTGCTTAAATCAAATGGGAAGAGGAAAGGATGATGGCTATACCTTGATGACACCGTTCTCATAGATAAAACAGTTCGAACTTCCTTGGAAGAAGAAAGTGTGGCCAACAGCTTTGAAAATGCCTCAAAAGTAGAGGCTTCTGCGGGAACTTCTAAGGACAGTGAGTTATAACAGTATGCTGTTATGCATGCCACACTTTTCTTGAGGAGTGATATCCCTTTCTGCAAATCCTTGTGTATCTCAACTGAATGTTGAGAAGCGGAAGAATAATTGAAACTGCCACCAGACGACTCTAACCGAGGCTTTCTCACAGACTCCATTGAAGCAACACCAAAATTACTTGAGCTTCTCTCGGACCATGAAGTTTCACCGCCAGTGGTGCAAAAGTTTTGGCGAGGAATAAAAAGCGGATATTCACTGCTGAATAGTAGAACATTAGATAAAATAATAATTAGACTGAGGTGTTCTTTAAATTGGGCCATGAACTCAAAGAATACCTCCTAGGTGATGGACGAGCATCCCAATATGACTCCCGCTGCCATATTCGAGAACAAGAACCCTGAAATATGTGAAGAAAGTGAGAAACTTGTTTCCTGCATATATACACATATCTCCAATCCGTCCAAAAGCAAAGGTATAAAATCCAATAAATACCAAAAAAAAAAAAACACCGATAAACGAATACTAAATATCTGTACGCGTTCAGAAAAAAATATATATAAAGGTAGCACTATTATATCAACCATCGGTCAGTAATTAATGTCTTCACAAACTTAATTCAGTTTCTTGATCTCAATGCAACTTCAAAGAACCAGGTTAGTATTACATGTCTTCTCCAACATATTCACACCTCATGCCAAATGCATTATTGAGTCTTTAAAATATTAGGTAAAAAGTCATTAAACATTGTTGAAGTATGACGTGTAAACCACAATTCAATAAAAATCCAATGACACAATCAGGCACAGAGAGGTATAACTGAACATACCGCAAACCCAGAGTGATGAAGGGCAGGAGCGCAGACAGTGTGAATCACAAGATTTAGGAGTTGCACCATGTACCTGTTTTTATCCATTCAGTATGAAGAGAGTAAGTAAAACATCATACATTGAAAAATGCTAACATACTGCTTCAGAACTTCATATAAAAAGCATATATTTTGCACATTTCCCAAATTCTGCGAAATGCGTAGCAGTAGGGTGTAATCAAGTATTCAGAGTAAAAAGTTTAAATTTTTACATAGAACTTCAAGTGAGAGAGCTAAACTCTATGTGCAAATCGAGCAATAATCAAAAACAATTTTTCAGAACCAAAAGCTTTAATTTTATCCATCATGGGACAACAAAGTTAATAAAATATTCTCAGCAAATGTGTCAATGCTATCAAATCAACATTTCCGGCATTTATTATTGATCAAAACAGGCCCAAGGAAGTAGGCTCGTATGTAATCACTATAGAAGAGCAACCAAAGGGGAAAATAAGATTCCTTAATTCCAATCATCATTTTCATTTCGAAAAATTAGTAAACACATAGATTAAAATTTACCCTAACGAGGCGGCAAGCTCCTCTGATGGAACTGAGTGGGGATCTAAGCCTCTCGGCAAGCGTGCATTGCAGATAGTATCATATTGACCACCATATCCATCTTTACTCTCCCCGTCTATATTTACCTGCAATAAAGCTATAGTAGTGAACTATTGTTGAAAGAGACACACCTATAGAAACAAAATTAGCACTACAACAGCTTGAGCAAACAAATTTTCGAGTACATATCAATAACCAGTTAGATATCATCACGGGATACAACGAATTACAAAAAAATTACAAACTTAAACCAATGCTTCATAGAGAATTACAAAATTAACTTCTAGATAATTTTTCTCCCAACTAAATTGATTAGAAAATGACCAATTATGTGAAGTCAACAACTGATACAAATTAAATAAATCGATTAACCTTGATAGAAACAGGTTGTCCAAACAGATTGTTTTAAATAGACTGTAGGACCTCAAGCCATAAACCAAATTATATTTCTAACATAGTTTACAGGATTGAGGGTGCATCACAGTATTTATGTACCCATAGGTACTGTATTGGATTTGAATCAACCGGATCAATCAATATTGAAAACAAGTGATTTGAACTGTTAATAATGACACGATTGAATGAAATGCCTAGGCTGTCATGATGATGATGATAAACACTGATGACAAATTAACAATAAGGATTTGGATAAGTACCCGGCGCTGGGGGAATAACTTGCATATCTGCTTTATAATAACGGATTGTTTATGAAGGCGTTCGGAGGTAATTGCCATCTGAAAAACATATACTTGGAGCATTAATCTTAGTTGAGAAAGAGTAAACAAAAGATTCTTACGTAGTTTATGGAAAAATTCTAAACTATATACAGAAAGAATAGAACATCAAACAGAAGAAGGAACCAAACACAAATTTCTCACATGCCCCAAACTTTGTGTGCAGATAAGATTCGGATAATATTTCTCAATTTGTTCCAAGCGGTTCTTTTCCATCTGCAATATCAAACAGAAATCTCATAATAATAGGTAGGATAAAACCAAATAATGTCCCGAGGGGAGGAAAGATTTTGATAATCGAAAAATAAAGAAACGAAAATTATTATACCGTATCCATTGCTGATTCAAGCAATTCATACTTTAGTTTTAGATCATGAGACCTCTTCTCAATCTTAGCCTTCCCTGAAAATAATCAATTATTCCAAAGAAACATAAGCCAAAATCGGGAATGTTGGCAACCAATATTTTATACGACTAAATCCGAGCAGCAATCAACCTTGTAAAATCTGTTCTTTACGTTGTCTGAGCTTATCTCTCAACCTCGCCAATTTCTCGTTATGAAGCACCCTCCAACTATGTTGATCATCAGCCTTGCCCTAAAACGAAAAAATTTGCCTCTTAAGCAATTGATATTTTTAAATCAAGCAGAATCACAAAAATTGATAATTTGTCATAAAAAGGAATCACAAATTATATACACTGAACATCGATCTAGCAATAAGAGCTACGAAATTGGAGAAGTTGATACAGTCCACGAAAATTTCCGGTACATCCTTACTCAATTGAATCCGTAAAATACTCAGTAAAATTAGACGAATCACGCAATTTCACTAACCATATTATAATAAAAACAGCAAAAATAAATCGAAACCACATCATCACGTATACCTTCGCGACGAGAACTTGAGTCAGTTTTGAGTACAGTGCATCCCTCTTACTCTTCAATAACCTCAAATTGCCATTATACTCATTCAACCTGAACACAAACATGACAAACACACATCACTTCAGCTGATTAAACAAAAAAAAAAACTCTTATTCTCCAAAAATCACATCCTAAAGCAACGAACATTACACCATCACTTAATTTTAAATTAAAAAAAAAAACAATGGTGAATTTTTTACCTGTAATTAACACAAACAGTACAAATCGAAGCGAGATTGGAGGTCTCGCATATGGCACAGCTACTGGTTTTCCTCGTCGTCGTCGTCATCATCTGAGCGCGGGTAAATCCACGCACGAGTTTCTACCCGCTCAAATATGATTGGAGAGTGTGAATTTTACTGATTAAAATTTGGGGATTTAACAATTTTCAACTCTTTTACTCTGAAGAAGAATTAGGGTTCTAACGATTGGTGAATTTGTTTATGGCAGAGAATTTTGAATTTCAAGTTGCTCATCATGTACGTTTCTGAACACAAATTTATATTACTTTGTGGAACGAAAAAGATGTATTATCAGAAAATAATTTTATTTTTTTGGTTAACTTACGGCCTAACCCTTGATTTAAGCTCAATTACGAAAACACCCTTTATGTTTGGGTAATTGCAACTACGCCTCAATTATGAATCTTCTTGCACGTCCACATTTATGATGTCAAATTAGAGGAATCTTCTAGATTCTATGGATTGTTCTCTAGTAAGTATTCGTTTTGTGCAACATGCAATTTCTGATACACCACAATCTGATATTTTTCAAGCCTAAAAACAAATTTTATGATGATCTTGTTTTAAAATGTAGAGTTTGAATGGGGTGAAACGGGTACAAATTGGAGTATTCCGCATAATGTAGAAGATTCTACTAAATTTAACACCGTAAGGACGGACGTTATTCATAGTTTGAAGGGTAGTTATAATTACCCTAATATAATGGGTTTTCTTCGTAATTTAACCTTACATCAGGGGTAGCCGTAATTTACCCTTAATTTTTTATCCTATATATATGCACTTTGACAATTTTAATTCATCATTAATTTCTTAGTTTTGTTTTTTTTTGATAAAATTAATAGTTTTTCAAAATGCCTAAATCTATACTTTTTTATACTTTTTTATCCAACCACTTATAAGGTCAATCTTATTTCTTTAATAAAATATGAATTTAATTTTAGGAAAAATAGGGGCAAAATAATTTATTTGACTGCTTCTAGGTGTAGACAAATTTGAGGAATAAACATAAACTTATGTGTTATTTTTTTATATGGTGAATGACAAAAAGACCCATCAATACGGGACTTAAATGCATTTTGGTACAAAAAAAACAGTCTCTTAATTAAACTTATCCTTATGTCTTTAGTCTAAAATACCCTCCATAATATAATTCTTATCAATTTCATCAATTATGCCTAACTTCCTTAATATTACTCATTGACCTCGGATTTAAACAAATATATCACATTAACCCCCCCCCCCCCCAAATTTTTTTTTTCAGAAAATAATTTTTTCTTCTGAAATTTTTTTTTTCGGCCAGATTCCGGTGTTGATTTTTTTTTTTTTTTCCTGAATTTTTTTTTCCGGCCGGTCAACCACCGTTGACCGCCGGTCTCCGGCGTTGACTTTTTTTTTTTTCTTAGAAAAAAAATATTTCAATTAATATTACTGTCTTGACTACTAAATTACTGTCTCAGGCAGTAATATTAGTGTTTGGGACAATAATATTATGAATATTATTTTCCCGAACAGTAATATTATTACTATTATTGTCTAAGACAGTTAAATTACTGTTGGAGACAGTAATTTGGCAGCCAAGGCAATAATATAAATTAAAATAATTTTTAATTAAGAAAAAGAATTTAAAAAAAAAAGTCAATTAACAGTTAAATTACTGTCTCCAACAGTTAAATAACTGCTGGAGACAGTAACTTAGCAACGAATACAGTAATATTAATTAAAATATTTAAAAAAAAAAGTCAATTAACAGTTACATTATTGTCTCTAACAGTTAAATAACTGCTGGAGACAGTAATTTAGCAGCAAAGAAAGTAATATTAATTAAAATATTTTTGAAGAAAAAAAAAAAGTCAATTAACAGTTAAATTACTATCTCCGACAGTTAAATAACTGCCGGAGACAGTAATTTAGCAGCCAAGACAGTAATATTAATTAAAATATTTTTTTAAGAAAATACAAACTTATAATAATAATAAAAAAAAAAAAAAAGGTCAACGCCGGAGACCGGCGGTCAACGGCGGCGGGTCAAAATTGAAATTAGGGTTAAAATTGATTAATTGATGAAATTGGGCTAAATTGGGGTGTAAATCATAAAATTGGAGTTGAATTGAGTTTCAATGAATTGTGGATAATTTTGGTATATATAAAATGATTTTCCTTATTTGTAAATAAGTTTGATTGAGCTAGATTTATTTGAAAGATAAAAAAGTTGAATGTCCCTCTTTTAATTGAATGCCCTTGTCATAGGTCTTTTCGTGATTAACCCTTTTTTATATTAGAAGTTCATAGTTCATTATGTGACAGAATTTGATAAACTAATTTCAGAATGACAAAAAGGCAGATTTGAAAGGGAAAAAAAATGCAATTAATGATTCACCGGAATTATAAAGTGACAAATATTTTCGGACCAAAAAAGAAGACTATCTAAATACACAAATATAGTGTGACAAAGGGAGTAATAAAATACATCTTCACAAAATTCTATTATCAATCGAATGCAACTGATTCACCGTAGATTAATGTTCCGAATCCCTTTAACAAGAACAAGATTCAAACGAAAATCTGCAGGACCGGGTTAATAAAGCAAGCCCCAAGTTACAAATATGAAATACGAAAAGTAAAACCAAAATTCGAATTAAAATCTTACAATCAACGAAACTTGATCGCACAATCGATGAATTTCCGAATCATCCACGGTCATATGGAATCAAAACATTTAAATTAAATGGATTTGTCGAAGTACTATACAACACTTTTTATATACCAAATACCCTAATAAGTTCGTTAACTACTTTTCTTCTTTATCCGGAACAATCCCAATAACCGAGCAAACGAGAATTAGAGAAACTCGGAATATTCAGCTCACATGAAGTTATCCTGGATCTTCTTTTTCAAAACTTCAAGTTTTTCGATAATTTTGGGATTCATTAAATCACGGGCTTCTCGTACGAGAGTGCCCTCTCTGCTGAATTGGTATGCATCTATTATAGTCCTAATCCACGTATGTAACTGCTCGGGTGTCCTGTAAAGTCGGGAATAAAAAACATAAGAATTACATAAGCACATTATATAATTACATACATAGTACGGGGGTTTATATACGTACGTGTAAAGGCAGTCGACATCCATTCCTTCAAGTTCTTCTCCAGGGGTAAAAGCGTCATTTAACGCACTCATGTGCTCTTCGGGGTCTTCAATTGTGAGCAAGTACTTGAGTATCCTGATTTCTTTCGGCATAAGCCTCTGAAGATTACCTCTCGATGTTTTATATAAATGATACAGTACATCTTTCACCTGCCACCAAGAAATATAAATAAATACCTCGTTTAGGAATTAGGATAGGACTTGTTATATAATATAATCAAGGTTTGGCGGGTTTCGGTTTCAAGCCCGTGATAAAGAACGGGGACCGCATTTTAATCAAGCATATGAAGGATTTTCCAACCTCAACCATATTATTATACGATCCTATGAAGGATAATATATTACCCAATACAAAGATTGTATAATCACAAATACCAAACATATGATTATCATGGATTACATTTTAATAGACAATGTAATCCTAATTAATTTCAATTAATCTCGTCAATTCCATAAACATTTCCAAACGAGACCAGTGCATTAAATATGTAGGATCATTAAAATTTAATAAAATATACCTCGTCTTTCATCATGTTCGATTCTTTGGCAGCTGACCAAGCTTTTGTAATCATAAGAACCAGTGCAGAATCGAGTTCATTTTTCTCCGCCAAATTATCAATTTTCCGACAAGCAGCATCTACTGATGGAGAGTTTATTATATCTTGAAATTTTAACTCTGCAGCGTTTAACGCTTCTATACTTTCAGTTGCAGTATCATATGCCTGTACAGCTGCTAAACACGTATTCCCAAGCTTTGCCACAGCTACTCAATCCAAAAAACGAGAGAAATGTCAAAATTAATCAGTCTTAGGCCTCGTTTGGTTGCCAAGATAAGATTAAATAATCTAATAAGGCCCCGTTTGGTTGGCAACATAAGATTAGCCAGAATAAGATTAAATAATCTAATGAAACCCAACTATTTTATTGGAGCTTGAAACGTCCAACAAAAAAAACTCATTAGAAGGCAAGATAAGCCAAGATAAGGCAAGATAAGCCATGATTATATAATTTTTGGGGGTCAACGTGGCAATTTATTAAGGATACCAAACATCAAATTAAGTCCAACTATTTAGTTAATCATGGCTTATCTTGGCAACCAAACGGGGCCTAAAACTATTGGACCATGGAAGGTCCAATAAAAAAAGGCTCCGAAAAAGGCAATATAAGCCATGATAACATAATATTTACGGGTCGACCCGGGAAGTTATTGGATATACCAAACATCAAACAAGGTCCAATTATTTCGTTAATCATGGCTAATCTTCCCAACCAAATCAGGCCTTAGTATAGTTCTAACAAGCCAAGTACTAAGAAAAAAAAAATATATTTATACTAATCTACGTATTGATAGATCAATTTACGGTAGAACGGGGAATCATCATATAAGCAAGCCAAGAAAAAAATATGATTCATCATCATCTAAGAAATGTCACAAAATCATTTCTTCATCCAAGCCAAGAAGATAGTTAAACACTACATCCAGGAATAAGTAAAACCTCTTACCATTTTGTTCGGTTGGATTGTCATAGTACGATTCTGCCACAGTATGAAGATGAACAAAAAACTCCTTCGTGAAGTCTTTACGACGCCTGGCTACAATTTCCCCAGCCTCAGACGGTGATTTTCTTACAGCATTAAGGAGTTCGTCGTGCCTTTGAATATCTTCATCAATCTGCATGAATCTTTTTTAGTAAATTCCCAAAATTCGTCACAAAAATTTATAAACGAACATAGCAACTATCCTCGATCTCACTAGAATGAACAAGAACGAACCCACTTCACTTAATGTCAAGAAAATTGTCCTAATGCAATGAATAATTTACTAATAAAAATACCAAACGGGTGATTGATACCTGTTTCAGTTTCCTCGAAAGACGAAGTAGATTATGCTTTTTTCCGGGATCGCTTTCGTTATCGGCTTTGTTCTGGCATCGCTTAAAGAAATGTGGTCGAATAGTGTCCCATTCTCTGCTAAAAGTTAATAACCTTCTCCAATCGGATGGCGTCGGCTTATCCACCGTAAATACCTCAATTAGTTTGTTGCAAATGCGAACCATTTTACGATCATCGAATTGTTCACTATCGTCTTCCTTAAGTTCTTGATCCGATTCATTCGTCGCAGCTGTCGTATTACCGAGACTAGCAGAAAGAGACGAACTACGCAACCCAATTGCCTCACGTGGCAGGATAAATCCTGCAGCAGAAATATAAATTTTTCAAAATTCTGTTGCTCAAATTTACCGATTTCCATCGAATCAACGACTAACCTCGGAAACCAAAGAAATACGTAACTGATTAGTTTAACTCATTATAAATATACATAATTGAGCTCTAGAACACTGTGGGCGGAAATGGAATAAAATTCATCAGTTCTCAAAAGCAATTAAAAAGAAAAATTAGGGTTTCCCGCTTGCTAGAATTCACAGAAAAACCAATTCAATTCAGAAACAAAACATGCGACAAACGAATTGAAAGAATTGGTGTACCCATGGATTTAGAAGCCGAAATACGTGGATGAATTCTGGGAAAATTACTCCTGAAGGGGAGAGATAGAGAGAAGTTTCTGGAAGCGGTGGCGTGGGCTCGTGCAGGTAAAACGACGGCGTAGTATGCGTTGAGAGGGGAAGAAGCGAGCTCCATTTTATTTTTTTATTTTTTTTCCACGGTTTACAAAATTCAGCGCCGTTTTCGCGAATATGCTTGCTCGTGCTGCTCTAATTAACCTTCAATCTTGTACAGAAAGTAATAACAAGTGTTGAAGTGGCCGGAGTATTTAGAGGGGATGAAGATGTTGGGGAAGAAATATACGTGAATATTGGTTTTATTTTTTCATTTTATTCTTTCTTCTTATGTTTTATTTAGGGGCAAATACATACTGATAAATCCTAAATCCAAACATAAATTGTAGGTCAGTCTCTAATAACATTCTTTTAAGTATATTGGACCTAAATCAAACATAAATATGTACTTAACTCCTTAACTGGTGTACAAAGACCGAAAAATCCCTCACTTTATTTTGAAATTACCTGCAAATTATGACAAAACTTTCCACCTATTTTTCACGCGCCGGTTGAGAATCACGCTCCATATCTTTTTAACTATCCTTTGTCATTCAATTTTCGAACCATTTTTTCAGCAGTTTTTCTTCGTGCAAGCGATTCTTCAGGTTTTTCGGTTTTTTTTGCTTGTATAAATAACCACAACAAGGCGAAAAGTAGACATGAAACTAAAGTAATAATTTTTGAAGTAGAAGAATGGTGAAGACAAATAAGGGGAAGGAGAAGCAAGGTTTTTTTTTTTTTTTTTCTTTTTTTTTTTCAGGAATCGATTATGAAATTTGTTGTTGTTTTTTTGCTTAGGTTAGCAAAAAACAAACAGCATGTTCTCATATTGAATGATTTTGAACATTTCTAGTAGTGGGTAGTATCCAACGACGAGATTGGAGTTTTCTCAAATAAAAAAATCGAACAACTGGTTCCAATAAATGTTGTTTTCTTGTTTATGTTTGCAAAAATTGTTCATTTTCTGTTGAATTGCATGATTTTGAACACTTTCGCTCTTGGATATCATTCGTCTGAAATATTAGTATTTTCCCAAATCACTTTTGGTCATAACAAAGGTGTGATTTTGGGCATTAGATGTATTTAAATAATATAAGTCTTACTATACAACGATAGTGCTATTGTAGTTAGAAGGTATAAAAAAAGGTAATGGCATTTCTTCTGATGTAATTAAATAGTATATGTAGTATTGCCTAATAGTATAGTTAATGTAAGTGTATAGTATTGATACAATATAGTGAAGGTATAATTACAATAACTACATAGTACCATTATTATCTTACAATTGTATTTTTTCTGATTATTGTTTTTCCTTTATAATCGTAATACGCTTGCAGATGAAGACGCCCAACAAGCTTGCAGGTGCTCTCCTAGCGCCTTCAAAGAACAAATGGACATAATTAAACCAATGATGACGGCCAGGCATTTTGCTGCGCCTTGGAGGAAAATCCTTTCGGGCATTTCTTAAACATGCCTAAGATATACCATAGTTTCTTAAAGATGTCTGTTCTGTTGAAGAAGACATACAACGTGGAGGAACGTACGTTCTGGTTTGGAGGTAAAACTATCCCTATCGTATTTGATCCTAGGGAGTTCTGCATCATGATGGGATTACAGTTTAAGGGGGTACCCATCGATAAAAGCCTGGAAATAGAAACTCCTTTCATTAGACGTTTTTTTTTGGGTCAATTGACCCAAGTAAAGCGTCATCAAATTGCTGAAAAATTGGAAGAGTATGCTGTTAGAACCGACCAACAATCCATTGAGGATTTTTGTAGGTTGTACATTATTTTCACTTGCAATACTTTCTTATTGCCAAAGAGCAAATTTCAACTGCCGAGGTAAGTTTATCCACATATTGACAAATTGGAGCGAGTAGGAGATTTTGCGTGGGGAAAATTGGTGTATGATGTGCTCATTGAAAATATTGAGGCACACTTGGCTGGGGCAGGA